CGAACATTAACTTCAACAATACTTTCTCACTGCAGATCAATTACTCACTACCTACACACATATTATTGTTCTGTCACGTTGTAACCCTCTTTTATATACCAGACTACCCTATATCTAGTAATCTCCCGATAATTCACGAAGGTACTAAGATATTTCCAGAAAGCAGGGGGCATGACACTAGTCACGTGACCTCGCTGACGCAACAATATGTAGAATATTTCTCTCTATTTTAAGCATTAACTTCCTTTAGTAAACTACATTAATTGAAAAAGAGAGATAGCAATTCCATACTTACAACAGAGTTGGACTGGTATACTTCTTGAGATTAGAAATCTTTATACTCATAATGACTTGGAGATCTCGATTCTTTCTGCGGAACCTAATTCATCCTAGAGAGAACTTGATTTACAGCTCCAGACACAATTTTTTATACTGTGTTTTCTTTATATCCTTTTAATTTTCCAAATAGTATTCCTGACTACCCACAAGTAGTCCTGACACTTTATTGACTAATTTCTGCAACTCATTGAGCATTTCCAAAACAAGAATCAAAACTCTCAAGTAATTGGTTACTGTGATGGTGAGTGCTCCAGTTGCCTTCTCACTTGTACTACTATACCAGGCTGAAGTAACAGATCTTACATCAAAGTGCCGATTTGAGATGCTATCATAAACTTTTTAGTAGGCTTTACTGTGCTACTAATTCAGCATCAGTAACTTATCACTGTCAAACTTGTGACCAGCATTTTTCTCAGCATCCTCACTGTAGCTTCATTTTTAATTCATGATTGTCAATACTAACTAACCAATTAACTGTGCTTCACCAAGTTCTTGACTCAACTTCGTAATATAGGCATCCTTTTCTTACACCATTTCTTCATGTATATGCCTCACACTCAGATACTTAAGTTTCTTTATTAAACATAGAAGACTGAAGCAATTGTAAAATTCCCTCAAAAATATCCAATTGCTTCACTTAGTTGATCATTCCTTACACATAGCTCTTTAGGTTTGGTTCTAATTTCTTATTCCTTAAAATGTCCATCTAGAAGATGATGTGTAGTTTTGTTCATTACTTCTTCACATATACACATAGTAGGAAATATTTAGTCCTAGTTAATTACTCTTTAATATTGTTGCATCAGCGAGGTCACGTGACTAGTGTCACACCACTCGTTCTCTCAAACCTTCGTAAATTTTCGGGAGATTACTAGATATAGTGTTAGTCTTGTATATATATAAGACGGTCACGACGTGACGGGATAATGTGTGTAGGTAATGAGTAATTGAACTGCAGTTAGAGAGAGACGTATTGTTGAAGTCGAGCTCGTGAGATGTGAATTATAGTTTGTTATAGCGCGACTGTTGAAGTTGAGTGTATCGTAAAGTTATATTCGGAAAGAATAAACCAGTTTTATTCAAGAAAGGAGTTGTGTCGCTAAAGTTTCGTCGGAACGAATTGACTGGAAAATAATTAATGACTGGAGGCGTAACAATATGTACACACAGTAGATAAACCTTAAATCTCTTTCATTGCTCCTTGACATATAAGAAACTGATGATAATATTTTGTTATAGTTCTTTACTGCTTGACATGTGACACATTGACAATAATATTTTGTTATTGTTCTTTAATGCTTGATGTGACACATTGACAATAATATTTTATTATAGTTCTTTACTGCTTGACATGTGACACATTGACAATAATGTTTTGTTATAGTTCTTTACTGCTTGACATGTGACACATTGACAATATTGTTTTGTTATTGTTCTGTACTGCTTGATATGTGACACATTAATGATAGTGTTTTGTTATAGTTCTTTATTGCTTGATATGTGACACATTGATGATAATGTTTTGTTATAGTTATTTACTCCTTGACATGTGACACGTTGACCATAATATTTGGTATAGTTCATAGAGGAAGTTATACATTGTATGATATTTGAGTATGATATAGTGAAGCATGATTTATATTCAGACTTGTTATAGACAAATCTACATTATTTATACTTCTACCAACAGGAGAAGGTGGTTCCTTACAAGAAAGATCTTTACATACCATTTTGAAGTCTGATTTAGTAAAAGAGGAACAAGAAGAGAAGTATGAAGCAACAGAAAAAACTGAGGTAATTTGTAGACTAAAGATTTTATAGTTTTATTATTGAAGTAATCATACAGCTGTAATGTCTTTTTAAGCTTAATTTGACTAGAACTGTATCATTCATCAGATGATTGTAGTCGCAGTATTAAGAAATTCGTTACAACTTTAGTAAACTACTCTCAACATCTGTTATACTTGTGGAAAAAATCAAAAATGTAAAGACATCATTTAATGATAAAATTGTTTTGTTTCATGTTTGTAGTATTTTCATTAGTCTACATGTCAAAAACATTCACAAATTGTTAGTGATTTTTGTATAAATGAAAAGTAAACCTGTAATAACCCCAAATTTACAGACAATAATAACCACTTGCTTATATCAGAACTGATTCAAGTTTAATGACCAATTATATAAATAGAACAACAGATTAGCTATGGATTATCTTTTATTCTTTCCTTGCAAAAGTTTTCATGGGTGATTCAGAGAAGATATGGTTAGTGATGTAAATAATACAGAACATGTGAGATATTGGTAGACATATGATGACCCAAAACATCAACTTGGCAGTTTTGTAACTCTTTGAAATCCATGAAACAAATATATTAACATTTCTATGGAAACACAAACATTAATTTTCTTGATTTAAATATTACCACAATAATGACATTTACATTTTTCAGAAAACTGGTACTATATGCTTCTCAAAGACATCACAAATTAGCATGGTTTGTTCACAGGCTTTTCATTCTACTCTTCTCATCTCAAGATTATAGACTAACCTTCTACCATTGAAACAATAATTAGAAAGTACGGCCACTGTAGTGTTTACCAATTAACATGTCAAGCCTGCAATAGTGTATATGTAGGTCAGACAGGATGTTTTATAGAAGCAAGAGGTAAAGAACAATCAAGAAATTGGGAAAAATGGGTTAAACTTTTGTATTACACATCAATTTCACCCAGAGAAAAATCTTACATGTTTGTGGAAAAGGTAAAGAAATAAACTTAGAAATTTTGAAAATAAAAATGAATTCAGACAGAGTTCTAAGTGACCAAATGAAGTTAAGCTACTTCTCACCCCTCTTGCATCAAGGTGCTTGTCAAAGTTGCTTCTGATTTTGTGTATATATACCTGTTCATAAGCTAGTTCACTCTATACCTGATGATGGTGAAACTATAGCTATAATAAATGTAAGATTTGTGAAACTTTCAGATGTCTTTGTTTTCTTCAATCTTGTTACCTTAAAGTATTACATTTCTGTCATCATATTTTTTATTATTAAACTGGAGACAGTATTTATTTGTTTACCATTATTTATTATTTTATTAACCTGTTGAATATGTTGTTTGGTTTTAGAACATATTTTTCACAGTAAAAACAGAACAACCTGATGATTTACCACAAAGTGAGGTTATTTCAAAGTTCAATGAAAGTAGTGATGATGATTTGGATAGTTCAAAATGTGATGTTATCAATGTGAAAACAGAAACTGAATTCAAAGAAGATTTACAGTATATTGAATCTAGGTTGGAAAGTACATCTGGTAAGTAGAAACATCTCCTAAAAACTGTAAATTTATTGACATAGTTTTAACCCTTTAAACACTAAACACGGGTACCCCTTTATAAACACTATTCTGCACAAGTCACTGTGTTACATTCAAAATTTAATTAAACACTTTTACTATCAATGCATGTGAGTTAAATTAACATTATAATATATGATATGATTCAAAGTTTTACGTTATATCAGTTTTAAGTCTTTTATTTCAAAAGAAACCTTTAAAAATTACTTCAGATGTATTGTCACGTGACCAACAAGTTATGAAAATTCTCTACCTTACCACTGTATCTTCAGTAATACAGTGGCAGTAGCATAGAGTTAGGTCTAGACTATAAGATACTTACATAAAATTTTGACTCGTACATTTCAAAGTTTTCTGAAGAATTGCAATTGAAACAAGTAATAAATTTTCTCAACCCTTAAAAGGTACCATACACATGTGTATAATCATTAGAAAGAGCTCATTTTACAATACTGTTACGCCTCCGGTCGTTAGTTAATTCTTTCCGAAGAAACTTTACTGATATAAGTCCTTTCTTAAATAAAACTGGTTTATTCTTTCTAAATATAACTTTGCGATACACTTAATTTCCACAGTCGCGCTATAACACACGCTGTAATTCACAACGAACGTCTCACGTGCTCGACTCAACTGTCAATTACGCATTACATTCTTGTCATCACTTCTTGGCTGTCTTATATAAAAGAATACCGTACATCTAGTAACCTCCCGAGGATTCACGAAGCTTCGAGAATATGATGTGTAACTAGTGTCACGTGACCTCCGCTGTCGTAACAATACTATCTAACATTGGTTATTTTAAAATTAGCATACAGTTGTTATGGGGTGCATGTAACTGACTGTGCTATTGTTGGCTGCTAATATATTATACTTAGATACAGTTTAAACCATATTTAGGTCTTACTATTATATTTTATTAATTATGTATTAGTTATGTTTTAATTAAAAGGTTTAAACATTGTTTAAATATACATGATGCTGTTTTCAAGGTCTTATGATATCACATGGTGTTAGTTCATTATGTATTAGTTATGTTTTAAATATACATCATGTTGTTTGTAAGGTCTTACAATATTATATGGTGTTAGTTCATTATGTATTACTTATGTTTTAAATATACATCATGCTGTTGTCAAGGTTTTATGATATCACATGATGTTAGTTAATTATGTATTAGTTATGTTTTAAAAGGATGAAACATTGTTTAAATATACATCATGCTGTTCGTAAGGTCTTATGATATTACATGGTGTTAGTTAATTATGTATTAGTTATGTTTTAAAAGGTTTCAACATTGTTTAATTATACATTATGATATTACATGGTGTTTGTTCATTATGAATTAGTTATGTTATAATTAAAATGGTTAAACATCACTTAAATATACATCATGGTGTTGTCAAGGTGTTATGATATTGTTACATCTTTGTTCGTTAGTTAATTTTCCATCAATTCATTCCGACGAAGCTTTAGCGACACAAGTCCTTTCTTAAATAAAGTTGGTTTATTCTTTCCGAATACAACTTTACGATACACTTAATTTCAACAGTCGCTCTGTAACAAACGCTATAATTCTCAACAAACTTCTCACGTGCTTAACAATATTCTCTCTGACTGCAGTTCAATTACTCATTACCTCTGTTGTCCCGTCACGTTGTGAACGTCTTATATATACAAGACTAACACGTATCTAGTAAATGCTAGGGTATTCTTGAAGGAACAGGATATTTCTAGAAAACGTGGCGTGATACTAGTCACGTGACCTCGCTGACGCAACAGTACATATTTCTCATATAATTCTTCTCTTTATTATTTAAATCAATTTATCAGTTCAGTAGCATGTGTTTCTGTATTTGTATTATAATTTTTAAAAAGGGTTGAGGACGTTATATGCGTATAATATTAAATGTGCAAATCAGCAAATTACATGACAAACATTGCATGCATCAGAATTACATTTTGATTTTGTTTGGTGTTTTTGGGTAGCACGAGCACCCTCAGAAATATTTTCAAGGGGGACAAAACATGTATGTAGGGGATCAGCTTTTACAGACTAAAACAATATGTGTTAGGTGTGCTTAAACGCAAACATAAATTTACAGTTTTAATAAATATTACTAAGCATATTTAGTTTAACTACGATATTAAGTTTACATCATAACACGTGCAATTTTTTTTTAAAATGTAAGGGGGGCAAATGCCCCCTCTTGCCATTTCCTGCTAGTACCCATGGCAGGTAGTAAAATGCAACCAAAAATTTATCGCTCTTGAGAGGGTATGTAATATCTCCTTTCCTACATAAAATGTTCGTGTACTTGAATCATAAAGCCACCCATGTTCCCCCAGGCAACAGTATACAACATAACCAAGAAGGACCTCGAACTGGAAAAGTGATACAGTCATGTGTAAATACACTGCTTTCACAACACATTTGTTTAACTGTCACAGTGTCTATGGATTTCTGTGTGATCATACTATTGAAACAGGTGCTGGGAAATCGTCAACCTCATACGAATTATGGAAATGAACAGAAAGGTATTGTGTGCTTTGGATATAACGTTTCGAAGTAAAAACTACATTGCAAGGCTACTCGGACAGAGCATGACCAAACCTAATGACATGGACTGTGACACGGCGAGGATGCTAAAAAAATCAACCTCTGTAGCAGATTTATGTTTGAATGAGATATTCAGTTTTAACATCTAGATTATAGATTTCTCAGTAGTCAATGCAATAACATGTAAAGATAAAAAGTAATCAATGTGTAACAACAAACTTTATGGAGAAAATCTGCTTAGAAATTGAATTTATCCATAATGTCTGTTGTAATGGTTTCTATTATTTGATGGAGTTTTTAAAATTATTTGGCCAAAAAAGAAAAATGCGAATTCCAGTATGCACAACAATAATGAAAGCATTTTAACTTGCCAACTACAAGTTTTACAGGCTAATTAATTTTCACTGATAAACCCAAGTTCACAATAGACACCAATACAACAACTTCACGTACTTACTAATTTATCGTCCTCTATACAATGTGGGCATATCGTTTACTACTTCTTCGAGAACACAAGCTTAATACTCCAAATATGAACAAATTGACTAAAAACTCAAAAAATATCTCATAATATCAGGTTAAGTGTAATCGAAAATCAATAATAATGTAATTAGCCTAAATTGTGTTTTATACTGCTCTAAAACTGGAGAAAATTCTAGACGTTAAGTCATGCATTCATCATGTAACGTCAAACCTCACTCTGTCTTAACACCATCACCAAAGTCCAAATGTAAAACATAGCCTATAACACCGCTCCATTCTTGTATTATTAAGATTCTTGAACAATCGTATTACACAAAAAAACAACGGTACTCTAAACTTAAACTTCCAAAATAAAAAAGAAAGTATTGATAACCTCAATCTAGACTGGTATTTTTGTGAGCCAAGAATTTTTACACCCAGAAACAACATTCACTCAAAATTTACTAATAAACAAATTAATTATTCCTTACACGTTTTCTGTCAAAATCTATCCACTCATCAAATCATTTTATTGGTTTTCTTTTCAGCATCTTGTTGTATGAAGATTAGATAACCTCTTGCTCTTTTATCAACACTTGCTGTCATCACTTAGATAATGAAATTGTTTGAACTATGTCTAATCTCATATCCATGTCTTTATGAAATCTGTTCCCAATATGCAATATTCCTTGATGTCAATTACCCACACATCATCATGCTATGTAGAAAAGCTAACACAGTGAGGATTTCTTCCAACTTTTCTCTTGCTGGAACTTTATGATTACTTGCTATTAGTTCTATTTTGAATAAACAAATTGGCAAGTCATGTGACAATTACAATGATATAAAGTTGTGGTGGGTACAGACTATATAAAAACACAGTTTTGAAATTGTTTTTCATTTGTTATGTAGTGTGATGCCACAAAAACTAATTGCTTTTGAACACAAGATATTTATTTACTCAGGTCATAAAGATGTATTCAGTTTGGGGATTAAGAATTTTCAAGATGGAGAAAATCCTTTGCACTTAATGGTATTAGAAAACAAAGGAATATGAATCAATTTGAAGAACCAGGACCACCCACAGAGACACGTTTAACAAGTACTCCAGTCATGGTAAAAGCAAAGTACAGTATTTTGTAACAGGTGAGCATCTATGAACACAAAGGTTAGTGACAAAATCTGTCTACAGCAACAGTATGTAACATAATCAATAAAGATCTCCATCTGGAAAAGTTACACAAGTCATGTGGACACAAACTGCTTTCATAATTAATCCATCACATATCTCAAGCAGCTGGAAGGAGAATGAGATGGGTATTCATGCTATTTTATACAAAAACAACATATTGGTTAAGTCATCAGATGCAGTACCTATGGATTTCTGTGCGTGGACGAGATATGTAATGCAGACTTTTGTAATGGAAACTTTGCTGCAGAACTATTGTAAAGGTAGAACATGACCAACTATATTCAAATATAATATTATGGAGGTTAAAATTATGATTTTTAGTGTAAGGATTTAGGACTACCATATTTCTCCTGAGCTGGCTGAATCTTGGGTTTCCGGACCAAATACTATTAACATTATTCATATCTTATGTTTTCATTTTCTTGTTTTATGACAATGCATACTCCTTGGTATATAAAATTAGTTACACTATTTACTAAGTTAATTTTTAGTTTTTATCTATGGTGTTAGTTTGCTTTCATCAGATGTTATTATTACTTTACAAGAAGCTTGTTAAATCATAGAGATAAATAATAAACAACAAAGCTCCCAAGACCTCCCCCCCTCTAGTTAATATTCTCTTAGAAAAAATGCTTATTTGTTATTATTCATTTTCTTTTTATACAACAAAACTCATTTTATCTCTTCCTTTTAATTTTTCTGCCAACTTCATTAGTATTCAACATATTAATCTATTATTAGAAACCATATTGGAGGCTTTCTGAATGTCAAGATAAAAAAAAAAGATCAATTGGAGTACCTTTATCCAAGGAACTAGAAGTTCTATCATAAATTTTCAACAGTTGTTACACCAAGAAAAGTTTTTTTAAATCATAATAATTATTGTTGTTTAATATCAGTTTTCTAAATAAAATCTTTACAACAGATTCCAATAAATACCGAGTTAATATGAACATAATTTCTCAAATATTCACTTGAAATATTTTTTTTAAGAGGACAATATATTGCCAATTTTCCAATCATAGGTGATTTAATTACACCTAAGGGTCCCATATAATTCTTTCCCAGGTTCCTCAAGGCCTGGAAATTCACATGAATAAAAAACAAATTTTAGGCAAATATTCTTGCTGATTTGAAATGATGATCTTAAGTTATTTTTTTTAAAGCCTACTTAAAGTTCTCTTGGTTACTTTAACCTAAATACTCTACAAGATTATTCTTAGAAGTATTAACCTAATTTCTGATAAATAACAACAACAACAAAAACCCTTATTTTATTTTAGCGGTTGAAATACTGTTATCCAATTTTCTTTTTATTGAAAAACCCTAAGAGACTGAATAAAGAATTTAGTGTTTGTTTGGAATTAAACACAAAGCTACACAATGGGCTATCTGTGCTCAAATATCTGACATTCACTTTTAACCAAACCTATTCCTTTGCAGTTAAATGCATTCTAGTAATGTCTGATATTTTTAGATTTCCAGAGATGTACAATTTATCAACGTATTTTCTTAACTCTTTAGATAAAACAATTTTAATTAAGTGTACTATAAGAAAATTGCCCCTACTATTTTCTACAAGATTATAATACAGAAGAATAGATAATGCATTTTTTGTATCATCATTTAAAGAAAATGTGTAGATATCTTAAGAAACAAAAGCAAATTTGGATGACAAAATTATTTTATAAATATTATACATCATCTTTCATTAGTATAGAACTAGCTTGTTTTGAAAACTTCAACCGAGCGTATTAAAACTATGTTAAAATAAACTTCATTGCATTATAACAAATATCAATGTCAGTCTTTGTACCAAGCTTCAGGATTTAAATATACTACACCAATTACATTTAGGTGTTCTTGTAATAAAGTAACTAGTCACAGAAATTATATATGGGCATATTTTGAAAGACGATTAGACACAAGTGACAAATTACTCACATTTTGCTTTGTCAAAGTTTTATTTTCCAACTAGCAAAATCTACATCATATTTTATCTGGGGTATATAAATAATTATAAACTAAGGCTGATACTGACTTCAATACAGTACTGGCTATGTTAATATTTAACAATTATTCACCATGGTAAGTTTTGCACTGACGTGTTTGCAACTTACACTGTGGTACTATATCTACACTGACATAGTCTGTTATCATTAAGTTGTATTTTATATGAAGTTAAACATCATATTTAACATAATGGAAATTATAATGGTGCATAGCAGTTATTGCATCATAGTGTGGTTTTATAACTTATAATATTTCGTTCTTTAGGCAAAAACATCCAAAAAAATATTTTAAGTTAGCATTGCAGCTCTGTTTGTTGAGCTATGATGTGTTAATTCTTTCAAATGGTGACTGTGTACATCATTACTTTTGCTTAAGCTGTTAAAATGGGATTGAATTTTCTCCTTTCTCAAAGCCTGAAGCTACCTTGTGGTTGATTCAACATACATTTTAAGTTTAATTAACCATAACATCATTATACATACAAAATCAACCTTATATTCACAGTATAAAATGATGAAGGATAGATCTGCCTGAAATATTGCTATGAGTAATTAAATTTACAGCTTCATAATTTTATTTTCAGTTTCTTTTCTATATTTACATCTTGCAGAGAACACAAGAATATTTAAACTGATGAACATTAAGTATGAATGACTGACACTTTTGTATAATTTTATACTCAATCAAAAAATATAAATTTTTTAACTGTACACACTTAATAAGATATTTACTGAAGCTACCGATGGCTTCCACAAATATCTTTTGTGTACAGTTGAACATTGCAGTTCCATTACTTGTTTCATTACACACCATTTATTACTTGTTTCAGTACACACCATTTATAATTGTATTTTATTTTTAAAAGTGACTGAATGTTAAATTTCCATCTTAGTTGATTCTTGTTATTTAGTACAATCCCTTCCTTCTATGTACTTCTTTATCTATCTCTTTATGTAACACACGTGGAAACAAATTTAGTTTACTGGAAAAGTTGCATATTTTACTAACAGGATCTTAGATTTTTTATCTTTAAGGAGAGGTCAATCAGACACCCCAACTTAATTGATGATGATAGTTTTACATGCCTACTCTGAAAATAACAGCTTCTTGAAAACGAAAATAGAGATTTTAGTCTGCCACTAATTCTGCCAAGTGTATTTTGATATATAAAATTTTTCAGTTCAAATGTTATCCACAAAATGTGGAAGAAATAACAACACCACAAAAAATTTCAATTATCATAGTTATTATTTATTACCATTGAACCTTTCTGTGAAGACGAAAGACAACTACAGAGAAACATAGCTTTCTCAAAATATTTATAACAATTACATGATTTGCATAGCTTTAAGTAAAACTAAAATAAATTGTCAAAATCAGTGACCCTACAATTGTATTGTACTTCTACAAATCAAAAAATATCCACAACCTAAGTAAATATAAAAAAATTAAAAGATTTAACTCCAAATGATCAAAATTGTATAGTCTGAAAACTTTATTAAATAATAAATGCTAACAAAATTTGGTGAAATTTCAGATTCTGAAAGCTACTAAATTTGTTTAAAGGAAAGATTTACCAACATACATTTTGATTAATTTACTTAAAACAATAAAAACTTCTGCTGGCTGCTTCTTACTTTATACGCATTATGTTCATATTTATAACTGAGATCTGCTTTCAACACAAATGTATGTCGCACCTCATCAAAAATCAAAATTTGTGGATAAACCTAATTTTTTTTTGTTACACACAACAATTTAAAGTTTCATTTCTACCTGAGCTATCTGTTTAGTTAACTTATTTTCCGAGCCTGGAAAGATGTTTTTTTCTCTCCACCATTTTTGGTCCATTCTTCTTCAAAAACATGTGCAAGAATCTCTGCACCTTTCTTTCGAGTAAGGCCCGTTTCTTCAAGGGTCAGTTCACACATTTGCATGTCATCTTTACCTGAAGGGAAACAAGTGATGGGTATGTGGAAAGTACTTTTTAGTGCATAAAAACGTGATACATGGTTTTTAATTTTGAACAGATTCATAATATTACAGGTTTGTAGTAGAAATGTTGATGTTTACATATCAATTTCACAAAAGCAAAACATATTTCGTTAAAGATGTTAAACTGTGCAAGTTTCAACTCAAGCTGTACTAACAGAATTACAAACCTGCAAGAAGAAGAATTGGTAATCTCCCTGGATGTATTTCCATTTGACGAGCAATATACGGACCATCAAAATGAGCATACCACATTCCCACCTCTGATGCTGAAGCACCTGCTCGCAAGAATGGCATGCGAAAGTACCGCTGACGATGGTCTGGATTTTTAGGTTGTCTTTCAGGAAGAGGTGGTGGAGCTATAAAATAAAATGTATAAAGAAATATATCTAAAATTAAGAATACTATAATTTTGACATACAATCTTTACTGGTGGTGAAAGTGTACTAAATGTAGGAAGTTACCGTCATCGGCATAACCAGCTAAGGATTAGTATTAATTTATGAACTGAAACTTTATTTTAACATAAAGACATTTTCAACATACTTGTGTCTGTAACAGACTGTGGAGCTCTGCTTTGTGGATGTTCCCCCTTTTTGACATTCTTGCGCTTCCAGGCATGGTAGACCTTAAGACGCCGATGGAATTCCTCCCGGCAGGCTTCTAATAATTCCAAGTCTGAAAAACAATACTCTAATTATAAGGTGTACAATCGATAACATATCAAATAAACAAGATCTAAAAACAGGTCTCTGTAACACTCATTTTGTAAACTGAAATATATGAATGAGATCTTTCTTGTTTTGCAAACACATTGTAAAATACTACATCTGAAGTTTGGACATAGGATCAAGCGGTCTTAAGCTTTTTTTAATTGTATATTTCTATGATATTATAGGAAAAGTGAAAAGATAATCTAAGAGATCAGAAGATAGTAGTTTTTAATTAACAGAAATACTTTAGCTCAAACTTTTTTCTTATTCAATCAAGTAGGGCCGGTGGTGTATTTAACATTGGTGCAATCAGGGCAATGCACCGACGGGCCCCTCATATTGCAAAGCAATGCAAAATACTTATACATTTCTATACCTATAGCTGATCAGTACAGATGAGCCCCTAAGAAAATTGTACTGAGTAGTTTGAAGTGTTAAAGATACCTCTGTGTAGTGCTGAACCTAAGCTAACAAAAACCTTGATTGTTACAGCTGACTGTTCAATCAGGTTACAGTTTTAAAACTAGTAGTAAAATTTAGGGCCTCAAAGCCTCCTTCAGAATGAAAGATGTTATAAGTGAGGGTATCAATAAAACCATACCAGTAAAATAAACCCTATACATGTTGCACCTTAATGGGTATTCTCTTCTTGTTACAAGTACACCAGCAGGATTTTGTTTCAAGAGTAAATAATGAATTCAGGAAGTATACAAACACAGTAAAAAAAAGGTTTTTGGAATGTACAGCTCCAGAAAAAGAAGTATTGTGTACATGTGAAGTTCCATGGTGTTTTTTTTTTTAAAGATCCTATATTCTTACAGTAAGAATGAGAATAATCATGTATATCAAAAACTACTAATGCACTTGTAATATTATTCCTATGATCCAAAACAGTTAAATCAATGAATGTAATACACCATTTTTACATACCACAAGATGTGTTGATCGTATCCCGAAGCTTGGAATATGTCCATTTAGAAAGATTGTACTTTTTATTTTCTTGTTGTTGTCTATTCTTAATGACAGTGGAAGATCTGTCAAACATGAGAATAAAAAATTTCTTTTAATAAAGCTGAAAACCTAAGTAATGTATCAAAGTACTTATGCACTTAGCATTAAAGAAAGTTGCTACATGCAGATATCTACTGAAGACTTAGGTGACCTTTGAAAGATAATATGCTAAAACACTCGAGTCTACAGATCAAATCCAGTTTAATAATCCTACTTATTTAATTCTATTTTCATTAACTCTTATTTTGTTTTATTTATTTAAGTAAAAGGATTCTTTAACAACCCTTTAAAATCAAGATCTTCCAATAAGAAACTTTACGTTCTGTATAGCATGGAATAAATGTAATAGCTAAGCAAACCTTGGAAGTGTCGGAGTTGGTGGAACATCTTCTACCACACTATTGTTATCCTGGGCCAAGCGTAATGCCAGCTCGTGATCACGGCATTCTTGTTCCAACTGTTCTTTTCTTTAAAAAAATAAACAAACTTAAGTCACATTGGCAACTGTTAGTACTGAAAACAAGTTTACATTTTAAAATGAGATATAGTAAAAAAATCAGTCAGTTTTTCAAAGCTCATAGCTGATATTCTATCTGAATTGTACACTGCTTACTCTAGGTCTTCTAACACAGATAATAAGTTACAAAATTAAGGATATAGTAACAAATTAACAGTTGTTTATAAAAATTGTCCAGTACCTTTTTGCTGACTCTTCTTGTTCTAACTTCAACTGGGCTTCCAAGGCAGCCTATAAATTGATGTAGAAATATTGTAAGAAGGATACTTGTATGAAATGATAAAATTGCTTTAGAAAGAAATCAACTACTGTGGTTAAAATAAATAAAAAATTAAACACATAAAAAAAGGGTTCGATAACACACCAAAATCAGCATCTTGCTAATGAACTGCAATAAAATTAAAATTTAAAAAGATAAATTATTAAACTTTGAGGGAGGGGGGGGCAACTTTCTCTGCAAATTTAACTACATAAGCATTACCAAATACAAACAACAATTTAACTGAAACTTGAGTAAAATAAACTTAGTGAGAAAAAAACATTTAGTTCATGCTCTGAAATATCTGGTGGAAAGTAAAACATTAAATTGGCAATAATATGCTCACAGTAGAAAGACAGGAAGAAGGCCCATAGGATTCAGGTATAACTGTTCCTAATTTTGAACTACTGACCAGAAGATAGAGAGTCAGTAAGTAGTATCTGCCACCACAGCTGAAAGGCAAATGGTATTCAACAGCATCATGTCATGAACCTTAGACCTATCTGCAGTCTGGTACACTAACCCCTAGGCCATTGGTTTCCAAACTGTGTGTCATGGCAAGTTACTAAGGGTGTCATGAGAGTTTCACCAAAAGAATAATAATTAAGAACATAAAAGAAAAAACTACAAAAAATATTGCTGCAGCAGGGGTGTCATACAAGCCAAGGTATATGGGTTAGGGTTTCGTCAGTGTTTGGAAACAACCTCACTAGGTCATACCCAATCTATGGTTTTACGTGCTCCTTAATAAAGCATTGTAGGGATTTTTGAACAAACAAATATTTTTCTGGAGCATTAATTCTTTTATAATGTAATTTATTCCTTAGTACGTTCTTTAAGTCGTTAATAAAAGCTATACAATGAACGAGAATAAATACAGATTTATTGGAACAGAGTTGTTAACTATAAACATTAGGAAGATATTAAATTACAGAAATACTTTACAGAAAAACAATTTTTAGAGAAGGTATATTATCATCAAAAGATCTTACATTAAATACTAGTAATATATATATAATTTAATGTGTGTTATCCAGTAATACTACAGAAAACAAAAGCTTGAATCTAAAAAAAAAATATAATAAAAAAATAAAAATTGCATACCGCTAACTTTCTGTCTTCTTCTTCTTGTTTCTTGCGTCTTTCTTCTTCAGCTATTCTTTCTGCTTCTAACTGTGCCTTCCTGGGGATAATAATGGATATTCAGCAAGTACAACTCATTATTCACAACTTTTAAAATGTATTAAAATAATTACAACTTCATGCAAACAAAATATCACAAGGGTCTTATTTTACTATACTATATCCTTTTACAGGATCTCGATTATCATTAGGTTATCAACTGAAAAATGGTACATGTGGAGATTTCAGCATGTATCACATTGTCTTTTAGATCATTTTATCATATCACTAACAGTAAAAGTGCGTTTTTTGTTACTCTACGTACTTTTTACGTATCTCTTCTTCCTCACGTTTTTTTCTTTCTTCTTCTTCCTTTCTCTTCTTTTCTTTTTCCATCTCTTCTTGAATCTTTCTTAAGCGCTCTTGTTCTTCTGCAATCTTTTGTTTTTCTAGCTTACGCTTCAACACTACTAGACTGTCATCCATGGCCATCATCAAGCTTGTGTAGTTCTGTTGAATTTCAGCTTCTTTCATGTCTGTTGTCTATGGACATAAAAAATCGTTCATATATCCTCAGATACACGCATTACTGTTTGTCTATACAGCTGTTGTAGAAATCTAACAACATTCAGTTTACTCTCAATTACTACTTTATATTTTAAATCTATGTTATGAACAGCTTTTCATACATCACTATACAAATGCATAATCTACATATTTGACTCTCTTTCCATCACTATTTTTCATCTAAATAATGGGATATTGTATAAGCCTTATTTCTAATTAGTAACTATTTTTTTCAAATGACAGATTTAGATGAATAACTATGATTTTGACTAATTTAAAAACATGAGCTCCAATTACTCTAATAATGGCTAGACATACCCATACTATTCTTCCCAGGTGACCGAACAAACAAAATTAGTCAATATACCTTTAGTTTTTTAATGGTCTCTTTCATCTTTGTTTCAAGTGCATTTACTTGTGTGACTGACTGCTGTTTCTCTGCTTTTAACTGATTGACTAGTTCTGACATTTGTTTCAGTTGGCCTTGCAGAGACTTCACCTTCATGATGCCAAGGTATCTACCAAAAAACATGTGCTCAAGAAAGCTTCTAAAACTTAAGATCAGTTTCATACAGTAACATAGTTTCCCAATTTTAAACTGCACAGTTAGTAACAGTTTGTATCAGTGAGAAATACTTTTCAGTACAGAAATTTTAGGATCAGTATTAAAAAACAATTTAATTAGTTTTTTTAATAATTTTAAAGACTTGTTAGTTAAAGGATAAGTAAAATATGTTTGATACAAAAGCTTCTCCATCTGAAAAAATTAATCATTTGGTATCAAACAAGTATTTCTTTGAGAAAAACTAAGAATTGAAAACACTTAACACCAAGTAAACAATGTTAAAAAACAGGTTACACAAATAAAAAACAATTATGTATCAAGAAGCTAAAAATTTGTAGCTCAAATACAGATTTTTTCATCTTAATAAAATATTTCTCGGTTTTTCAGTTATCTTACCTAGGTCGATATTTCTTCATGGCTTGATACCTTCGAACATTTTTCTGTATAATAACCAGGCGTTTTCTTCTAAACAAGATTTTGTTCTTCACTACAAAAATATTACAAAAATTACTCTAAAGAACTTTGACTCGCATGAGCTCCTGTATCAAATTAGCACTTGAAAATGACTAAATAATTAGATTCTCATATACTAAAAATGGCAAAACAATGTTTTATTTTTTTAATATCCAAAACTAATATGGAATGTGAGGTTTTACCATTATATTGGTACATCGCAGTTTGTACTCCATTGATACATTTCATTGAAATGGTTTTTTCGTGGTATTGTTTTCAACTGACAATTTTGAGGGTTCACACACTTTCAGTAGAAAAAATTCAAGAATAATTCCCAAATTTTTCCAGAATATATTCATAAATTTATGGAATCATTTCACAGTTCACCTAAATTTCTGATACCTATATTAGGCCATAATTTAAATTTCTCAAGCAGTCTACACATATTGACAAGGGAGGTGGTTTCAATAAAATATTGCTGTTAAACACAATTGACACAAAAACCATCAATGCCCTAACACTAGAAGTATCATAGTATAATGGTAGTCTGTGTTTCTGCATTGTATGGTGTTTTCTGATTGGATCAAGCTGAACATGGGTTGACGGCAATCCACCAATGGTACACAATGTTGCAAAATAAGCAAAATCTTGTCTAAGCAGCCAATGAGTGAGTAGACAAAATGACCTTGGTAAGCAAAACTTCTGTGCAATATATTGTAATGCAGTTAAAAATACAGCAATACAAAATTTCTGATAACACCCATTCCTAAAACTAACACAGAAAATGTAAAACAATCAGAAAACAAAAAATCTTTCAACACACACACACACAAGTGGTAAAAACTTTCTCTAAAATTTATGTTAAAAACTTACATTTGATGACGGACAGAGCACAGTACTGTGTTTTTTTCCATCGAGAAGCAAGAAGCCATCTTTTCACTTTCTTTATAAGCAATGCCAGATTCTCTGGGTCAGACTTCATGATCTGATCAAACTCAGCAAATTTTCCAGGTCTGAAGAAAACCTTGGTCATCCCAAACCTGAAGTCATTTTCATTTAATCCAAGAGCCATGAATAAAGCCTGGTAATAAATTCATAATAACTCTCAATATTAAGACTAATCATATTTCCTACAATAAACAAGTTTTTTTTTTTTTGTAGAGGATACTTATAGATAACAAAAATTATTCTTACTTTTAAATATTTGTTACTGAGATTGTTCAAACATTTTGTAGCCTAACTAATTTGCTCTTTATTTATTTGATTTGTTTACATGCAAGAATAAACATACAGTAAGTATTTTTTTTCCACTATTTATAAAGACTGAAACTGGTTCCTACACACCATTACTCAGTTGATTTTAAGAAATCAGTTATAACATTTTCACTATAAACATGCAGTTTGGTCAAGTTGCGTTAAAAATAAATCCTAAACCCATTACTGAAGAGAGTTGAGGAACCAGCTAAAAAAATTTTAAGTCACAACTTACCTTACAGAAAAGACGTGCATCTAGCCGAGCCAGCTCTGGAGGAAGGTAATTTTTGTACATGTTGTAAAGTTCAGCAAACTGGGCTCTTGACGGAAACCCTTGCTGCATCAAATCCAGAACAGATGTCATACCTGATAATAGTTTAACATGCATGATTTATTATATGATATGTAAATACAACTGTTTTACTCAGAGGTTGTCAAAACATTTACTTCACATATGGACATCACACTGATGCTAATTCAAAGTATTTTAATATTTTACATGTGGCTTTAATAACACGAGTTGCTACTAACCTTATGTTAAACAATCTCATTTGATTTAAACATTCACTTTAGAACTTATGAACTTTAAACACTTTAATCAAATGTTCTGTTTAATACATACAGAACTACAATTTGAAAAAGAACTTTTAACTAAAGGGTCTTTTTATAGTAAACAAACATATTAAGTTTATCACTATTAGGCAGCATGTCAACTGATAAGGAGCAACAAATATGACTTGTAGAGGGATAATTTTACACTTCAAGATTCAAAAAGATTATTGTTACTCGTATATTATTAAAATATGAAAGCAGAATAAAACAAATAAATATGTACGTGAAATGGGAAAACAAATTAAAATGTTGCAAAAGCCCAGTCTGCTACAGAAACATAATTCCTGATAACATGTATATGATTTATTTTATGACTATTTTAAATGTTACAAAGGTTTGGAATTAAAGGATATTTACCAAACACTTGTAAACAAACTTTTCTGTCATTCAAAACAGCATTAATCATGAAATGCTTTAAGGAAACATAAGGTTGGTGATTGATTAAAATTTATCTGTACCTTGGCGAAAGCACGAATTTGTCTAACTGCATGCTTATTTAATGAATAAATTTTTAACTCCAGATTAAAAAAAAGCCATACCAATATTTGTCAAAGACTATTTCTTCAAAATGGTTCACAACTGTTATTAGTTAGTTTGAAGTGAGAAGTTGAAGGATCAACTCCTAATTTCAATTACATAATAACTTCTATCAGAAGTGCTGCTAAACATTCTACAAAATAATTACTATTTAATAATAATCTGAATTAAATAGGGAAAGTACAAACAGCTTCTATGGCAACTTCACCATATATCATCAATTGGGTACCCATGCTGCTCGCATTGTTTTCACCCTTAACTCAATAATAATTACTATTTAATAATAATCTGAATTAAATAGGGAAAGTACAAAGCTTCTATGGCAACTTCACCATATATCATCAATTGGGTACCCATGCTGCTCGCATTGTTTTCACCCTTAACTCAAGAATAATTGATGAGGTTGAGCCTGCTTACCAATATTACGAAGCATTGAAGCAGAACTGCCACATGTTAAGCTTCATTTGGCAAATGTAGTTATTACTCTTTATAAAATTAACTGTTATAGATTAAACTAGCTAATACTATAAATAACTAAAAAATAGATACTGAATTATTTAAGTTTAATACTGTAAGTCACTAAGTTACACACATAAACTCTCACCTTATTTAGCTTATAGCATCAAAGTTCTAGCTGGATGTTTACAAACATATAGCACATATATCTGCCAATGTATCTGTTCTTATTCTATTTATATGAATTCACCATACACTTGAATGGGAGGGGTGGCTTATACAGGGAACAAACCAAAGATGACCGGATTTTAAAATAGAAGGATAATTTAAGAAACTTTAGCATAGAAACTGAAGAAAGTCAGAGATGCAGTTTTAAATCTCTATGGTGTGATACAAACTTGGATTGGAGTATGTATGATCAGGATAAAGAAAATATTTTATATGCTATAACAAATATGTTAATTAGGTGATCTATGCTGAGTCAACAACCACACTATGGTAAATAATTCACTCAGCATAACTTTTTGGTGTAGTGGAATAAAATGATAATGTGAAAGGTTAAATGTTTAGGTTTGTGTTAAAGTATATATGTCCAGGATGAAGAAAGTTATCTATATTCTGGATTGACATGCTAATTATGCAATTTATAATGAGTTCACTACTATGTCGGGGAAAACGACTAGCTCAGAATAACTTATGTTAGAGTCAAATAAAATAACTTTGAAAGATGAAATACTTAGGTTTAAATTAGATAATGCACTGAATTTACTTTTATGTCTTGGAAGAGGTAACACAAGATTCATTAAACAAAGCAATAAAGTCATATAATGTTACACGTATAATTTGGTAAAGAGTGAAACCAGACCAGAATATCAAATGAACCCATTTTTTGTACTCCCTATCAAATTCACTATCAGAATAAATGACAATCAATTATCAGACATAGTAAACAAGACATTGGAAAATGAGCAACAATTAGTTGTTAGCAATGGCAAACAACAAATTAGGTAATAAAGAGGAATAAACAACTAGGTAACAGACATAGCATATAAAAAGGAGAATATACACAGACAGTTCAGATACAGTACATGAGGAACTGAACTGACAATCAGTTACTACATTCAAAACACATAAAACTGAAGAACAGCTTTCAGACAACACACAACAAAAATTTTAATGCATGAAAGTTATAAGAACTAGAAGGAAAAAAAACTGTATAGAATTATCCAGCCTTTTGGGAAGGGGGAAAAAAAACTGTATAGAATTATCCAGCCTTTTGGGAAGGCGGAAAAAAAACTGTATAGAATTATCCAGCCTTTTGGGAAGGGGGAAAAAACTGTATAGAATTATCCAGCCTTTTGGGAAGGGGGAAAAAACTGTAAAGAATTATCCAGCCTTTTGAGAAGGGGGAAAAAAACTGTAAAGAATAATCCAGCCTTTTGGGAAGGGGGAAAAAAACTGTAAAGAATTATCCAGCCTTTTGGGAAGGGGGAAAAAAACTGTATAGAATTATCCAGCCTTTTGGGAAGGGAGGAAAAACTGTATAGAATTATCCAGCCTTTTGGGAAGGGGGAAAAAAAAACTAAAGAATTATCCAGCCTTTTGGGAAGGCGACAGGCCATCAGCACCCACTGCCAACTCTTGTTCTACTCCTTACAAATGAATAGTAGAATTGACTGTCATATTATATGACTGAAAGTGCAAGATTGTTCTGCACCATGTTTCACTCCTGCAAGTTATAAATTGTAAGTTGAGCACACTAACCACCAGGACCAGCATTTCAATCATCCATATAACCAAAACCAACATTTCATAGGATTTTCTTGTACACTGGATTTTAGAATAACTATTAAAAATTTGAATAAAATTAAAATTAGTTGTATATAAAATGTTTTATTTCAACTAAAAGCTTTTATATACAAATCTATAAATAAATAAATTTCCTCTTGGTTATAGTCAACCTACCTGCACACCTTAACTGGCTTAGAATTTGACCTCCTTCAAATTTGTGGTCTACCATCTGCAAATTAGGCTTAATGCAACGAATAAAATGAGTTCCAGTGCTACGAAGTTTGGCCATCAGTTCCATTAACTGTGAACGGAACTTGCTACTAACACTAATGAAGGTCAGTTTGCCTTTTGATGTTTTAACAGGAGTATCACCAGAAAATAACTGCTTCAACAATGGGTTCTTAGCATCCAAAATTAAGGCTTCCAGTGAGTCATGTAGAGCATCATTGTTCTTCTCTAAGAATTTGTCCTGAAAAGTCAGAATGATTAAATCAAAATTCAAGACTTAAGGAGCTTTTTATGTGATAATTCGTCTAACATGACAGTGCAATGCCGATCACAGTGATTTTGAAAATAAGGTTTATTACTCTGTTATTTGTTCTGTTTCCAACACAGTAAACCTGGATAGTACTGTGTATAGTTTATATTATTTTGGGACTTTACATGACGAAAGACTAGTGTACATCAACAAAGGTTTTATTGCACACTCAATATCTATACCCTTTAAACTACTCAGCTAAACCTATGTTTATGTTAAAATTATTATACATGATACTTCAAAAGACTTAATAGTCTAAGCTCTTTCACAAAGCCAACCTCAAAAAATACAAGTTAGGTTTTTTTTTCAACTGATTTATTGTATTTGCCTGAATATTATGCACACCTTTTCCCTTCAAATACCTCCTGAAAAATTGATTGTGCATTCTATTGGGTGTGCATTATATCCAGGCAAGTACGGTATCTTTTTTTCAATTTATGCGTTTCATATGTGTAATGAAACTTATAAGTATTTTAGTCTTGATTTAGCTTTCCCTATCTATACACTGAAATAACGAACCGTTTGATAACAGACAGCTCCAGCAAAATGACGGATTAAAAATCCCTCATCATCCCTAACTTCTCGGTGGTCTCTGAGCCGGGACTTCCGTGGTACAGCCAACCTGAAGTGTTTGCCATGATTACTGTGTACAGCTGCAGTGAAGTGGTTGTGGCTAGGTTTAGGTAGCTTGCTCTCCTCATCCAAAAGATCAAAAATACCAGACCCTTTGGTTTCCATAAGATCTATGAAGAAACAAAGGTATATGTCTAATTTTGTCACTCCTACCCTGTAAGCTAGTGCTTAGTATTTTGTAAATACATGTACATCATCCTCTATCTCAGAGGGATATTATAAACGTATGTACTTAATCTTCTTCCTTGCAATGATGATATAGCATTTTGTAACACACGTACTCTACCTTATAAGGATCGTAGAGTATTTTGTAAATTAATGAATCTTACGTCATACAAATATAAGTTGTTTTATTTAATGGCTTTATAAATCATTACAAGCTTTATAAACAAATTTCTCAGAGTTTAACGATGACATACGTAGTAGATGTCGTTAGAAATATGTTCTTAGAAAATACTGACTTACTAGAATTGTTTCTTTAAATCTGTTGTATTTTACCTACAATTAAAATTTTTATATTTCAATCCTGAAGAATATTAACTAACTATTTGAAACAATTTGAGTTTCTGAGTCTTTTGAAATCTACTTGATTTTATTTTTTGTGATCCTTTATGCTAATTCTTTCATCATGGCTTATTTACAATTAAATATATCATTCACTGCATGTGTAACACTAATAATGTCTATTGAAAACCAACTACAAATTGTGAAAATTCAGAAGTATATAAACATTAAATATTATATTATCTTTAGAGAAAAAAAAAAAAGGATTGAAAACAAAAATGAGTAATGATTCTATTTAAAAAAAAACAACAAAATGAGACAGTATGATATTTCATAATAAATTTTTTGGAAGAACACACAATACGTTTCATGTTATGGTTTAAGATTCATTTTAATGTTGTTTTACTTTTTTTAAACAGTCTTCTTATGAAAAGTACCTACCAATGCAATCTTGATTGTCTACAAATTCAATTTTCTTCACACCCAAGCCTTCCTTCTCATACAAGTTTTGCTCCTGGGATATTACATTAAACCATAAGGAAATATTTCCACTCATGTTAAATTTCAATAATTTGAGAAATAAACATATAAAAGAAGGTGCAGTTTATTCACAGTATCTGAAATTTACATATATTTTAAAATCAAGTAGCAAAATCCGGAAATATTCTTTAGTATGCTCAACTGAAACACAACAAAGAAAAATACTACCCTCCAAGTTTGTGTTATCTTAAAATACAGGAAGTTATTACATTGGAAGATTTCTTGTGTACATTTAAGAAAGTATTATCTTACTTTTGATGAGAATAACTTTGATAAAAACTACTGTTCCATGTATTAGTTTACTCAGTGGGATGAATATAAACTCACTACAATTTGTTCAAGGATAAAAATATGTTACAATATTTATCCATGAAGATCTAATATTGAAACCTAAGTATTAGGTTGTCAAGAAATTAATGTCATATTTTAGAACACTTTCATTAACTACCTCCAAAAAACGTTTAACTATTATACGTAATGTACGTGACGTTTAGGTGGTTCATTAGTGTAGCCTATATAATGTGTAAAGTTTAGTATACTCTAATCCCTTATAGTGATGGCACACAATGAGACACATATTCAGCATGTAATGCTGTTTGAATATAAGAAGGGAAACAATGCCTCTGTAGCCTCAAAGAATATCAAAGAAGTTTATGGAAATGTTTGGAACGTTCGTAAGTGTCAACATTGGTTCAGCAAATTTCATTCAGGTGACTTTAGCCTTAAAAACTGTGATGGGAGGGGCAGACATATTGGAATTGATATTGATGCTCTGAAGATGCTTGTTGAGTCTAACCCAAGGTAACATACTCGTGAAATGGTCCTGAAATTGAATGTCTTTCAGTACGTAAACATCTAAGAAATATGGGAAAACTCCATAAAGAAGGTGTTTGGGTGCCTCATGAACTATCCGATAATCATCGTTTCTAAGTGTGGACGTTGCTTCGTCTCTTTTGGCGTGTAATGCGCGTGAACCATTTTTTGACAGAATTGTCACTGGTGATGAAAAATGGATTCTCTATGCAAATAATAAATACCACAAACAATGGCTCAGTCCTAGACAAAAAACACTTCCAACCCAAAACCTGGACTCCATCCGCAGAAAGTGATGCTTTGCATTTGATGGGACATCAAAGTAGTAATTCATTTCGAACTTCTCAATCCACAGCAAACTGTCAATACAGAAATCTATAGTCAGCAACTGGAATGTTTAAATCAAGCCCTTCATCAAAAACGCCCTTCACTCGTCAATCGAAAAGGTGTTCTTCTTCTCCATGACAATGCACGTCCACATGTGGCATGTTTTATGCAACACAAGATTATGGAGTTGGGTTTGGAAATTCTTCCCCACCCACCATATTCTCCAGATATGGCACCATCAGATTACCATCTTTTTTGTTCCCTGCAACACCATCTTAATAGGAAAACGTATGCAAATGTAGAAGGTGTTAAAGAGGACATCGACATGTTTTTTGCTTCAAAGCCAAGCAATTTCTTTAATCAGGGCATTAACAACCTAATTGTAAGATGGAAAAGCATCATCGATAAGACAGACTATTTCATTTAATAAATATTTTGTTTTGATATACAAGTGTTTCGATTTTTTTCATCTAAAAAAATTACTAATTTCTTGATGACCTAATACATAAAAGTACTCTCTCAATGTTAGTTAGTGATGACACGATGAAATAACCTGTTTGTTCCAAGTAAAACTTTTTTTTTACAAACAGTGAAACAAGCAATTCTATTCAAAACTCTACTCACATCTTTCAGAATTCTTTCGTTGAAAAACTGCTGAAGCTTCTCATTACAGTAGTTGATACAAAACTGTTCAAAACTGTTTTTTTGAAAATATTCTGAGAATGAAAGAAAGAAGCATTACTATATAGGTTTAGCATGTGCTAGTGTGTAACTTCTGTATGCTGTTATATCACATCTACAACACTTGGTAATTAGGTTTATTTAATAAGTTCCTTTTCTAAAAATGAAAATTTCTGTCTCGCCTACGAGTTCTTAATTCAAGAAACCTAAAAATCCTAATAAAGTTTACCTTAATATCTAACTTTATTTTGAGTAACCTATGAACTAGATACATATATACAGTTAATATTAACAAAAGGAAATGCTGGAAAATAATTTCACAGAACCTGGCTTGTAATTTGAATTATATACAAGTAGCTTTTCTGTTCCAATAAAATTCTACAGACAATAATTATGTATATAAAACCTACTGTAAATACTCTTGCACTAATTGGCTCTCAACCCAAAACTGACTTGTGTAGTGCAAATACCATGTATCTTATTCTCCTGTATTATGTACTTCTTATCTACAAAATTCTTACATTTACCCTAGTTCTAATTTTGGAACACTAAATCTAGATGAAGACATGTGCTAAATTCAGCCTAGGTGCTACTTTTTTGTAGTTTGATCAGTGGAGGAAGTTATCTGTTGTTTAATGGGATAGTTGCATTGTATCTACTTTGACCTTGTGTTTTTGCAAATACCTCATGACATTTGCATGCAACAGATACTTCTGTATTTCAGTGCCCTTCTCTTCTGGTTGGTGAGGCACAGAGAATAGTGAATAATATATAGTGAATGCAATTGATCTAAGTTAGCCAAAACCCAACATGGAAGCTCAGTTTTTATGTTTTTTATATCACCTTATTTCCACTGCTGATCACGGACATTTTATTATAATTTCATTTTAATTTCAAATTCTTTCAGCTTGTCTTCATTTTAATTGTCTCCCCAACCTGAAAGTCATAATACAATTGTACAGACAGTGTATAATAGATAGTTAATTATGTTCCTCAAGCTTGTTTGTTTCTTCTTTTATGCACTTGCTTTCACATTAACATTCCATCCATCCAAATCTTTGAACCAGTTGCTATTCAAGGTAGTTTACCCGAGTGCCATTATTCCTCTAAACTAGGATAAAAGTATAAACATATTAAGAAGTCTGGTGCTGTTACCAATATAAAAAGTACACATTAGGGAGAGTAAAATACATATTATTTGAATACTACATTTGCAACTAACAGTAAACATTTAACCTCTTTGTTTTTGGTTGCTTTATGTTTTATATTAAACACCCATAATACTTACATGTACTAATGATATAATTAAAGAAGGTCAAAAATCAGTTCAATTCAATTAAATAAAACAGCAAAAGGGTATTAGAATCAACCTACCAAACCCAGCAATGTCAAGAACACCAATGTAGTAAGATGAAGAACTGAATGGTATACTTCTGTTGATGCAGTTCACTATATAGTCAAATAACCTTGAGTACATGGCTTTAGCCAGAGCATCTCGACCATTCTGTGCTTCATGTACCTTTAGAGGTACCCTACGATCAAAATAATTACTTCAAGCACACCATGCATGTTTTTTTACAATAAAATGTCAAACATGCAATTAACATTTAAAAAGTGCACTCACAAATAAAAGCATCCAATTTTTATGCAGTTACTAATTAAAAGTGCACTCATGAATAAAAGCATCCAATTTCTATACACTTATTACTCAAGGAAGGTCACTCACAAATAAAATTTTTCTATTTCTATACTCATGCTAGAAATGTACTTGGTATTAAAACTGTTAATTGTCATTAGCTTACAAAACAGATACACATTAATATGCTAGTTAATCATATAATTTCATTCACATAAAAAAAAGGTTTTGGACACATTCAAATTCACACATTTTACACATTAACACCAAATTAATGCTAAATGGGATTGTTTCCTATAAAAACGAACATGCAAATATACATATAACAAACTATGCAGACATGCATGTTTTATTTACAGTGTAAAAAAAAAACAATGGTGTAAAATTTCTGCAAATTTAATAATGTATGTAGCAAAATAAAACTATTTGATAGAGGTGTTCAGAACAACATAAACAAAACATGCACAATTATTTTTTAATAATTAAAATACCTTGCAACATTAAGTCCTCCAATGTTTGTAATATTATGTAAAGTGTTTACATGCCATCACAATCATTAACTTTAAAATAGTTGAAACTACATAACTAGAAACTCAGAAAATAGGTAATTCTTCATATAGCTGAAAAAGTACTCACATAATCACAGTGCCTTTGACTCCACCTTTGCTGGGTTGCATGACTCTACATAGTAAACTCTGTCTCAGATCCTCAGGATCTAATCCCATAAGAGATGCAGCTGTTTTAAGTGAAGATTCAGAAGAGCTAGCAACTTTACACCCACCCCTGGTGTCATCAGGTGAATCTTCAAAGGTTACATTTCCCATGTGTAGAACTGCTGCGACAACTGTGTAAATTGCTAGTTTTTCTTGTTCACTCAAACCTAATACAAATTTCAACATTTACAATGGTGTAATACCAACCACATTGATTCTGCTACTTGTTTAACATCATACATATTTAGACTTGCAAAAACAAAACAAAACAAAAAGTTTTACAATATCTACTGTGACTATTTTATTAGACAAGTCAGAAGAGAAAAAAACGTTTATAATATATTCTAAGCATGTACAAAAGCATGAATAAAATGCAATACTTGAAAGAGAAAAAATTCAGTAAAACTGTATTAAACAGATAAATTTGTGTCATACCAATATTTTTGAGAGCTTTATCCAGAACTTGGAAGTCTCCCACATCATCCAAAAGTGGATCTTTTAGAGGACCTTTTTGCTGGTGGGCTTTAGACTTCCTGTTTACATTAAGGGACTTCTCCGAGGTGGCTGAGGCGAAATATTGTGTACAGCTTTTCCTTAAATACTGAAAGCAGAAATTAGTTAACAGGCTTAACAAAATGTCCCAATACTTTTGCCAATACTGAAGCAGAAAATGTTTTGCTGTTCCTCATAAATTTGTATAGTAAGTGTTAAACACATTTTAGAAAATAACAATAGTTTGAATATAGAGAATGAATTTTTGAATTTTTTTTCTCTCTCACTTTCCCTTTGTAATTAAATAACTAAGTTTTTAAAATTTTAAATAAAAGATGCTTTCAAATATATATTTTTGGTTATGTTTTCTGTAACTATTAAATTCCAACATTTACAAACATCTCCACCATTTCAAGTCTCTACCTTTAAGAGTGCTTACAGAATTATCATCTTTGTTGGTCGATCAACAATAGTCACACACACATGAGCTGATCTCTCTTTTGATTCACAAATCAAATTGTGTGACCTTTCTTCTTAGAGGTTGGATACCATATTCTTGATCTTCTGACCTGGTGGAAGGTTACTATTACTACTGCTGCCTATCACTACTCTCCTTGTTAGCACCAAACCTATTTTTGAGTGTCTTCTTAGCATCTATGGGCTTGATAGATGGATTTGCCTCGACAAGTGCACTCAAAAAGTCCATTATGATCACATTCACAGTGGCTGCACATGTTGGAAGTCTAACGTTTAAGAACCTTGCATATGCAGGTAATCAAGGGAATACTGGTGAATGATGAAGACATGCTGAAGAGTAGCAAAGTTTCAGTAGGGCTTGGAGTTATCTGCTGAAGCTCTATTGGACTCTGGTCAGAAAAACAGATGCAATGGTGCATAAAGAAAAAAAAAAAGGCTAATGTAATGGACCTATTGGTTATACAACAACAATTACTGTCATTAACTAAGTGGTTTCTGCTGATGAAGTGGCCAGTCACAGTTTAATCAATTTTGGTCCTATTTTGAAACTGTAATCGTCATACCATATGCTACATCATATACAAGTTTCACATAAATCAGATAAATCCCAGATATTTTACATCCAATTCCTGCCACCAATGCTTCTTTGGCTGAGGATGAGATCCTGTGTTAACATAAAAAATAAACTTCTGTGATTGATTGTTTGTTTGTTTGTAGTTAACCACAAAACTACACAAAGGGCTATCTGTGCTCTGCCCACCACAGGTATCAAAAACCTGGTTTCTAGCATTGTAAATCTGCAGATATAATGCTGTGCCACTGGGGGACAACTTCTGTGATAAAAAGGATTTCATTAAGATTTCTTGGTGCCAGTGCCAAAAGGATTTTTTATTTCTTTATGTGGCAAGTGATGAAAACATTTCATTATTGGAGTCAACAAATGTTGTGTAATAGGTAAATTTAGAGAAAATATACAAACCTCAAAAGCATCCGGACTTCCAAGTTTAAGCTGTTGCCGCAGTTGTTCAGGAGCTCCACTACAAAGCTGATAGAAAATGTGGTAATTTCTCTCCACTTTGTTCTGACTACAAATCCTAGACTTCTCAAGTAAATAGTGAGATATGTATCCTCCAACCACAATATGCTGAAAAAAAATTGTTTCAAAAGTAAACTATTAAACCATGAAAACACCTAACTTAACATAAAAGCAAAAATACTTCATGTAATAAATGTGTAAAATAGTTAAAAAACAACAAATTTTGTAACTAAAAGATACAATTAAAACAGGAATAACTAAATTAAACATACAACTTAACACATAAGCAAAAATACTTCATGTAATAAATGTGTAAAATAGTTAAAAAACAACAAATTTTGTAACTAAAATATACAATTAAGACAGAAATAACTGAATTAAACATACAAAAATCAAACTTAAGTAATTCTAAGTAAAATATATAACCCAAACTCAAAAGTCAAGGTACACAAATCAAAAACAACTTTAACTAAAATAATAGAAATAAACAACCTTGAAACATTATTATTATTCTTTAACTGGACACTCAAAGTTTCACTTTATAGCTTCTTCAGGAGCATTCCACTAAAACAGAAACCATAACTGGTTATTGGTAACCATTACAGTTTGTGTTTTAGTGGAATGCTCCTGAAGAAGATCTAAAGTGAAACATTATTTCTAGTATTAAAATGTCTTTTATACACCAATGTGCACTATATAAATTAAACAATTGTAACTAAAATTTGGAATTCAAAACAAACAATATAAACCAAGACAATAATTTCAAACCAAAGTCATTTACTACAATGTAAAATGATTCAAATCTCAATCTTTTTGACTAATAAGTACGAAAAATAAAATAGAATTTTTAGATATTTTCTATTACAGTACTGCAATACCTATATATATATATATTACTAATTACTTATTGGTAATTAGTAATTATAATATATAATTAGTAATACCTATATTTTAGGTTTAAACATACTTAAATATCTATATAAAGTACTGCAATACCTATAAGTAATTAGTAATATATATATATAATTAGTAATACCTATATTTTAGGTTTAAACATACTTAAATATCTAAAAAAAACATTCATTACAAACATATAATTACCTTGTTGCTGAAATGGATTTCAATAAACTTGCCAAATCTACTGCTATTATTGTTTCTTACTGTCTTTGCATTACCAAATGACTCAAGTATTGGATTGGCTAAAAAGAATTGATAGGTAATAAAAAATTTCCCCTTATTTTAGTTTTTTAAACATTATTGAAGTACTCTTGTTATAATAAAAACAGAGACAAATTAAGATTTTGTTTCCAGTGAAACTTTTGTTAAATTAATAGTTTGATAGTAAAAACATATTACATAGTTATCTTACACAAATCAGAAACACTTAATAAAACAAAGAAACAAATATACAAGAAAAAGACTATCCAGAATTTTGCAATATTCATTGAATATTTTTTTTGCTTTGAAAAATGTATTGTGTAGATCATGAATCACATTATATGTTCTACGAATCTAATACAAAGTATATTATCAACACCATTTTTTTTATTACAAAAAAAATACTTTTTCTAAACAATCTCATATACAATATGATACAAAGAGATCAACACTGACAATAACTAGTTCATCTCAATAAGCCTTACATATCATTTTTCATTGCCAGTTGAGTATTTTATACGAATAATGAAATGCTTTTTTTACTTAATGTTTATGCAAAGAAAAAAATTCTTAAATTTAAACAATGATTGTTGTTTATTAGTGCATTTGAAACAAACTTTCCTGGGGTCAGTATTATTTTATATTTATAGTTTTTTGTTTGCATAATTTTGTATTTAGTTAGTACACTTCTTCAAGGGCTTCACCTTCAATTCTAAGTATCACCTGCAAATTCTTATTTTATTTGTAATTTTACATAACTGTGCATTATAGTTAAAAGTTATTACACATTTTACATAATAGTACATGTAGTTCATAGTTTAATAATAGTATATAAATTTGACGTAATAGTACATGTAGTTCAGTTTTATAATAGTATATACATTTGATGTAATAGTGCATGCATTTCATAGTTTTATAATATTATATATATTTGACATAATAGTACATGTAGTTCATAGTTTAATAATAGTATATACATTTGATGTAATAGTACATGTAGTTCATAGTTTAATAATAGTAGACACATTTGACGTAATAGTACATGTAGTTCATAGTTTAATAATAGTAGACACATTTGACGTAATAGTACATGTAGTTTATAGTTAGTTATATCTGGTTATATGTCTTACAAAAGTAATTCTTGACTGGTTTGGTAATTCAAATAAATAAATTAAAATAATTTTATAGGTTTTATGCAGTAGCAGTTTGTGTTCTTTTAAAGCTTTGCTTACATAAATCACATGGTATTTACTCACCATCAAGAATCCTCTGTTCAAGTGGTCCAGCATGACTGCCCCAAGACTCGCAGAGATACCGAAGAATGTATTTTGTTGACTCTGTTTTCCCAGCTCCAGATTCACCACTTACAATAATTGACTGACTCTGTTTACCTCTCTTCATGTCTCTAAAGGCTTTGTCACCTGATGAACAGAATAATAAATGTAACTAAGCTCTTACTATACATAAATAGAGAATAAAGGCTTTAAAGTAAAACAGCATTTTAAAAACAAAACAGAAACCTACCTATTGCAAATACATGAGGAGGCAAAACTCCAAGAGACTTTCCTTGGTATTGCTTTATAATGCTCTGACAATACAAGTTCTTGATTTCAAAGTAAGGGTTTACAGCAATCAAAATGTTAGCTACGTATGTCTGTTAAGAGAAAATAAAATATTTTAACAAATGGTAGATACTTGATTTTCATAAGAAAAACTCAGCACACAGCATTAAATAATATTAACATTTATTAAAACAACATTTACACAATTATTAATAAGTTTAAGACAATGACACTAAGTAAATCTGTAAAAATGAAACATTATTATAAAAAAATATAACAACTAATTCATCATAGCTGCCAAACAAAAATGAAAGAACGCTACAGTAAAACCAAATTTCTGTTATGACAATGGAAATATTTACTAAAATAACTTCAAATAAACACTTTATTCACATTAACTTTATTAGATAGTATGAAAAGTATTACAAAACTTTTGTTTAACTACAGTTAAAGAAATATGCATCACACACACACACACACACATACATTTGAAAGTGCTATACATTTATAATTTTCTAACTCATTATGAAAAGTAAATGTGAGAAAGAACATTTAACTCTTGTAGTTCAAACTTCCAACATTGCTACATTTTCATTAGAATAAAACTTTAGGTTAATCATTAATAATTTCGCAGTTTTGACCAAAGCAATCTACCTCCACAGATAGGAACAAAATTAACCCAGTCAGTAATGTAGCTAATTTAATACAGTGATCTAATTGTGAGTACACAATGTCATAAAACAAAGTTATAGTGATGAAGATGTACTGACTTATTAGTTGGGTATCTTGCCGTTACTGATATATGCAGCCGTAACCCTAATAATGCTGCACATGAACCATGAAGTTTGACAAAGTTTTTTCTTTGATATTACTCTTTTTATAAGAAAAACACCTTAGCATTACTGAAATGACTGATATAGATTTTTTATTTTACATGCTTACAGTGTAAGAGAATGTATAACAAAAACAAAGCTTATTGATGGGTTTCACGGTTTCTTATGGAAACACCGTCAACTCAAATTTGTATACGCACTTATGAAGCAGAAATTGTTAAAATTTTGACAAATCTTTTAAATGTTAATGAATGTGGTTTAATCACTAAAATAAAAATTTACATAAATTAGTGTTCAATGTTATTTCATTTCTGATTATTATTGCAAAATAATATTTTTATATTTAACTGAAACACACAAAATAAACACTAATTTCTAACACATCATAATATACTTACATAAATTTGATCTCTTTTATATCTTAGGTAAACATTGTTTAGAAGTGTAGCTTCATTCAGGTACATGAGGGCACCTGCATGAATTAAAAATCAAGTTATTCTCACGAAAACGAACAAGTGTCCTAGTTTCAAACAATATCTCATACTTAGAACTCGGATTTTCAGTACGATTATCTTCAAATAATTTTAAAACACTTTAACTCCTGCTTTAAGGAATTTTTATATCTAAACAACAACTAAATAACTTTTTCACTAGGCTGGCTATATTACATCAATCTCTCCTCATATACACAGGCCAGAAGCATAAAGCTTATACTAAAGTACTGGCCACTGTTTGTTCACAGGATCACTCTATTTCTAACCACATTTCAAAAACTATAGAAATTTTAATCACAGTTGAAGTTTTCAAAAATTTATGCATCTACAGGTGGTTGTATAACATATTTGACTTTATTGATTGCATAATGGGTATCTCTGTAGAATTCCTTGCTGAAAAATGTGGTAAAGTACAATGTTAGGATAATCTGACTTGGTGTATGTAACTACTATACATACAGAATTGAGGGAAAAAAAAAATCAATTATACATGTTGTAACATTGTACACCAAATGGTTTGAGAAAAATTAACTGACGATATTTTACAGCATAATTCCTGGCACATAATAGTTTAATATATACAATGAGTAGTAATATGAAAAATACTTCTGGAATATTCATTTGTAAAAATAATATTACTAAAAAAACTATTATAATGTTTGTGTGAAAACAGTATATAAACCTAATGCCATATTCGTTTATCAAATCAAAGAGATAAAGTCTGGTGTATTCTGTAACTTATAATTCAATGTTGTTTCAAGCTCTGACTACATAAGTGTTAAAAGGGCTACTCATATCTTTTAACTATTTAACCCATACTGATAAGCAGTACTAGATTAATGCAAGGTCTGACAGGGCTACAGACTCGAACCCCCAAAGGGTTTTTTGGACACTACCAACTATGAAAGATTTTGAAAAATACATACAATTCCAATGATAGGTCCTTATAAATACATTAGCCCCCCTGGAACCTCAGTATGCTTAGTCTGGCCCTGCTGATAAAACAGACTTAAGGTTTTTATTTATCACTAGTAAATGGGGAGATCAAAAGGTCCTACAGGAATACCATCACAAACAATCAACTTGATGCAGAACAGCCACACAGACTACTCTATTTCTGTATGATGTTTAGTGTATTAAAAATCTATATCAATAATAGCACTAGTCAACAAAATCGACCTTTTTTCTCTCAAAGATGTAAGCACACTTTTTGAGGCCAGTTTTGCATGCTGATTCCAAATCTGTTTTCGGTTCTCTTCTAGCACAACTAGCGTTAATTTCAGCACAATTCAGGTAATAATCACACATTAGGCGAGTTAAGGTTACTACTTTATTACTTTTCAGTATGATTCCTATAAAAGTTATACACACACTACACTTTGTTAAATATATATACAATACGCACTTATGAAAAAAGAAATGTACAACAACTTAAATTATAATTAAGGCAATAACCTTTCAAATTTGATTGGTCTCATCACAAAAACTTGACATGCTAGAGGAAAACCAAAAACAGATTTCGAATTAGCATCCCAAGAGCTATCTAGACCACCTATAATTATATGTGATGAAATTGACTTGTTGGCCAGTTTATTTAAAACAGAATCAGTTAGACATACAATATGTAGATAGTTTACTTATTTCAAATGATACAAAAAGAGTAACTCAAGAAAACTGAGACAAAAACTTGCAATTATCATCCACATCCTTCTCGTCATCATCTTCTGCCATAAACACACAATCATAAGGAGCAGTGATGATCTGTTGTATAAAAAAAAATATTGTAAAAGTAAATTTATATCTTTAATTGACATATTTCATAAACTATTATTGTGTTATGATGAGGTGAAAAAATGTAAGATTAATTCCTATGATTCATTATCAGACAACTTAAAAGTAACTTAAAATACCTCACTTTTTTCAACCAACTAAGTAAGTAATAGAATTTAATAAGCTAATTTTAACTAGTTTTAACAGCTTAGATACAGATTTTCCTTCTGCTTTCAGTTTACAGAGTCTAACAGAACACAGGATAGCATAGAAGAAAGGAGATCATTTGGCAGCACTGCATACATTTGTTGCACATTCTTTACTATTTATATACATGACTAACCAAACTATATACACATATTTGTGTTTATATTTAATTTCATAAATTCCATTTGTATTCCATGTGTATTGTTTTCTTGTTAGTGATGAATGTGACAAACATTACATACTTTTGTGGAAAGCTATGTTGAATTTCATTTTCATAAATTCTTTCCTTATTGATCAAGAATGTGACTAGCTAAAAACTACATTTCTGTTATATTTCCTTATTGATCAAGAATGTGACTAGCTAAAAACTACATTTCTGTTATATTTCCTTATTGATCAAGAATGTGACTAGCTAAAAACTACATTTCTGTTATA